ATATATATATATATATATAATATAGTGACCGGGTGCTTCTTGAAGTTACTAATAAATAGTGGAGGAATATCCCAACCTGTCCCACCACCAGTTAAAGAACTGTGAAAAAGAGACGACGGATTGTTCTGCCGTGTTACTGCCCTTTCACACTGTTGATACTTTGCTCGGCGAAGATGACGTCGTCGCTTACGGAGCTTGACGATGATTTGGTTCGCTGCATGTCCATAGGAGCCGTCTTCTCCGAATTCGTAACTCTTCTATTCCCTTTCAATTTCATTCTTTTCACTTCATTTTAGTGCCCTCAGTCACATTTAGGCGTTTCTCGTTGCAAGGAAAAACATTTCTGTTAGGGTTCATTAATCTATTACGGAACCTTCTGTTCATATATCCAGCCTTACGCTTTTATCTGAACTTATTGCCGTTGTTCTCTTGGATCAAATTACTGAGATTATTGAGCTTTTCCTTTTTAAACTAATATTTTATATTATTTTTATTTGATTTAAAGTGTGAGTAATTTGGTTTAACGAGTCTAATATCTTTGAGGAACAAATCCTTGGGTTCTTTCAATCAGTTTCTATCTTATATTCTTGTTGTTTTTGGTGTGGAAATGGTGGCTTCATCGTAACTGTGCCTTTTCTGCAATGCTTAACTATCTTTGTATTTCCAGGGTGGGAAGATACATTCCATTGATTTCCATCGAAAGGATGATTTACTTGTCACGGCAAGTGAGGATGACTCAGTTCGACTTTATGACATCGCTAATGCCAAGTGAGTTTACTTTTATGAGAAAGAAGCAAATCTTACCCTTAATAATTCAAAGAACTTGTTAAGTTCTATGGATATTAACCTCACCAAAAAATATTATGAGCCTTGTAATATAAAGATAAGTTGATTTTTTATTTCGTTTTACCTTTGTATGACAGTATTATCTAGAAAGTGTTTAGCCAATAAATGGTGTTGGTTCACTCTTTCTACTTTTGTTCAAGTTTCATCAAGAGGTGTCCAATATGTGTTTGATCCTAATCATTTTTCTTAATTGCGACAAGTTTGAGGGGTATTGGACATGTGTGGAAGGTGTGTTTGACAAGTGTTCTGTTTGAAAAGTGTCTAACATATTGACATGCTATGAGGTGTCACTGCTTCCTAGTTGTTTTCTTTTACTTAATGGTGGGTGATTTTAATTGTTGTTGAGAATATATTCTTAACTGAGCAAATGGCTGACTGGTTGCAACTGTGTGCACTAGAAAGGACCCAATGGTTATTGTAAACAATTGCTTTTGTGTTTGGTTACTATTTGATAATTGGTGTATCTTTCTTGTCATTCTTATTAACATTTGTGTTTTTTCAACAAGTCTTAGTATCTTGACCGTTATGATTCTATTAGCTGAAAACTGGTCGCCTGACTAACGATCTCATCTATACTATTATGTAAAGTGGATACACATTTTGTAATTATTTTTGGTGTCGTTTTTAATTTAGACCATTTTATTTTTAACAAATAAAAATAATTTTCTAATTTAATAAAATATGTAATTGCTCGGCTTAACCTTTCTACTTAAATGTAACTACACGACCTTCCGCCCAAAAATAACTACCACATACATTTTCCTAGAACATTCTTACAATGTTATATATTTTCTCGAAATTGTATTACAATGATAAGTCCTTCGAGATTAAGAAAAGAGAAAGATAGAATCAAATACCAAGCACCATTTTAGTTCTAATTTTGTTTCGTTTTGTCCAGAAAAGACATTTGCTTTATTGCATAAGCTTAATTTGTTAATACAGTAAACTTTTGCCCACAGTTAATTATACCTATTAAGTTTTCCTTTTTTCCCCTGTGAAATGGTTTGCTTAATAAATGATCCAGTTTATATGATTTACTTACTCTGCTTCATACATGAATAGTTTTTTTCTATGCATCTTACCGTGAATTCCAGGTTGCTGAAGACTACTTCTCATAAGAAACATGGTACAGATAGGATATGCTTTACTCATCATCCAAGCTCTGTTATATGCTCTTCAAAATACAATTTGGAGTCTACTGGAGGTGGGCTTCTCTATAAAACCATTTTAATTGACAAGTTGCAACTCGTCTGCAACTACAAGTTATGATTGCAGTTATTGACTTCTTATTCTATTTTTTCCAGAATCATTGCGATACTTATCAATGTATGATAACCGATGCATAAGATACTTCAAAGGGCACACACAGAGGTTAGGTTTGAATGTAGATAAATGTTCTTCTTTTACCTTGCAGAAGGAAAACTAGCTGCTTTTTTTTTTTAATTGCTACACTTTAGGCAGAAATCAATTCTTATTTCTTATTGTTCTATCATTTTCTTTTTGTTTTGGGACATATTTGGCCTCTGGTAGTTGGGACTAAGGTTACTGTTTATAATTATTTGTATAAGCAGATGCTTGGAATTATATATGGCCACCAAGATTATGATTTCTTATATCATACATACAAATGATATATAAATAGTTTTCAGTTTTTGGCGGATGGTTATATTATTTTATTTTTAAATTTTTTAAACGTTTTTTAATGTTTATATTGTGCTACTGATGCATCTAAAGTAAGTTTTCTTTTGCCTCTCCCTTTTTTTGAACTCAATAGGAGCATAGATAAATTATTTTCATGTGCAATCAGAACAATAATTTGTCTATGATTCTGATTATGTTAATACCTTTGTTATACTTTCTTTAGGGTTGTTTCTCTTTGCATGTCTCCAATCAATGATAGCTTCATGTCTGGTTCTCTAGACCACAGTGTCAGGATATGGGATCTTCGAGTAAATGCTTGCCAGGTTGGTAGTTTTCTTTTTTGGGGGAGGGAGAGATTTAAAGTATTGATTTGAGTGTTGAATGACAATTAAAATATTGTCTAGATTCTTAGTTATATTGGTGAATATCCTATATAAGACAAAATTACTAGGTAAAATATTTAGAAAACAGGCCACTTTTTTGACTTATTCTTCTTTCAGTACTTAACATCTTGGTTGTGGCAACCACTACAATTGCATTGACTCAGTTGACATGCTGCAACCATAATGCAACCATGAGTGCACATGTGATTTAAACCCATGTTTGAGCTTCAAAATGTTAATAATTTCACAGTGCACCGTGCAAAAATTGTAAGAGATAATTATGATTTATGCTCACTTTTATAGTTTTCAGGGCATCTTACGTCTACGTGGTAGACCTGCTGTGGCATATGACCAACAAGGCCTTGTCTTTGCTGTAGCAATGGAAGGGGGGGCTATTAAATTATTCGATTCTCGTTCTTATGACAAGGTTTTGTATTTGTGGTCTTTATCTAAATTTTTCCATGATTTTCTTAACTTCCACAACTTTGACATTGCCCCCATATTGGTGTAGGGTCCATTTGACACCTTTCTAGTTGGTGGTGACACAGCTGAAGTTTGTGATATCAAATTCAGTAATGATGGCAAATCAATGCTTTTAACTACTACTAATAACAATATTTATATTCTTGATGCATATGGAGGAGAAAAGGTTAACTTCTTTGATCATTGAATCTTTTGCATTACATTTTCCTTATTCAATAGTGTGTTTGTTCAAAATATGTGGAAGTTGATAGTTTTCTAACTTGTGCAGCGTTGTGGGTTTAGTTTGGAAGCATCTCCTGGTACTCCTATAGAGGCTACTTTTACCCCAGATGGGAAATACATGGTGGCAGGTATTAACATTTCATCTATTCACAATTTAGCTTTTTAAAACTTTTCTTTTTCGCTGCATCTCATTTCCTGGTTTGTATTTACCAGTTGGTATGCAGAAAAACATGTTTTTGTTAATTTCTTCTATTTTCTTTTGTTAAAATATGGTATTAGTTTTGTGTTTTGTGGTTTTGGTTGAACTAACAATATTTCTATTTGATGTAATTATAGTTATAATTATAATTACAAAGTGCTATTCCTATATAGAAATAAGCAGCTAATCCTATATGTTAGAATATGTTTTATTAGCTGTATTATTTCTGTCAGGATTTGTTTTATTGTTTCCTTATTTAGCAGATTATAATTACAGTGTATAATAGGGATATCACCTAATCATAGGGATTCAGTTGTCTAGGTGCTATTATTATACTTCCTAAAATAGATTTCCAGCCTTGTATATATGAATTGTATTCTCAGCATAATATATCAAAAAATGATTCTACCCTAAACTATAAGATGGTATCAACATTCTCAAATTTTGGGTGCGACCTCTGATTGCGCACACCAAAACCCTAGACAACAAGCTTCATTGTTGCCACCATCCCTTTCAGGACAACCTTCATTGATGGAGGAGGATAATCTGATGGTGGACCAAGAGGATCACATATAACAAGAATATTAACTGTAGTAGATGGAGACACATAAGAAGAAGAAGGACCCTTAAAGAAAAAGAAAACTCATTGAAGGTGACATTTGCAAAAACAAAATATCGGTTGAGAGAAGGAGAAGAGCACTAGTAACCTTTTTTGTGATCGAGTAAATCCTAAAATGATGCATTTGAGTGATCTCAGAGATAACTTACCGGGACCAAAATTATGAACAAAACATGTATACTCAAAAACTTTCAAAGGCAAAGGATGATAGGTTCATGAGGAAATAAAATAGAATGAGGAATTTGATTATCTAAAACAAAAGACGACATACAATTAATAAGATAACATGCATAAGAATAACATTACTTCAAAAATGTTTAAGAAATTCACCATGAATTAAAAAAGTGAGTTGTTTTAGTAAAATTTCTATTCTTGTGCTCAACTACTTCTATTTTGTTGAGGTGTATAAGTACAAGAAGTTTGATGGAGAATGCTATGAGAAGCCATAAACTGTTTAAAAGAATTTAAAAGATATTCATGACCATTATCACTTAGCAAAGTTTGAATACCGAATTGAGTTTAATTTCATTATAAAAGGTTTGAAAGATATGAAATAAATCAAAACAATTTTTCATCAAAAATAACAAAGTAAATCTGGAATAATCATCAATAAAAGTAACAAAATATTGAAAACTTAAATTAGACTTAACACAACTAGGTCCCCAAATATCAGAGTGAATTAAGGCAAACAGGGGCGAAGCACATTGTGAGACCTTTACTAGGAGAGGAACCATGACTATGTTTTTTTAATTGACATGACTGACAACAAACTAGACAACTTGGATAAACTTGGAACAAACTGTTGCAATTTGGCTAGATTATGACTCACACCAAACCAGACAACTTGGAAAAAAGCTATTGCAATTTGGATAGACTGAGATGACCTAGTTGAGCATGAAGGAGAGATGGAGGCCAATCACTTGTCTCGAACTATGGTCCTAGAAATAAACAAAAATTTTTGTGAAAGAAATAACCCAATCAAGAGAATGAGTTGGACGACTAATGGATAATAAGTTAAAAGGAGACCCAGGGACATAAAGAACATTATCAATGGATAAAAAAGGAAAAGACTAACAATCCTAACACCATGAGCTAAAACCTTGGACCCATTAGCTTTTGTAACAAAAGGTCAATTTTTTGGAGAGGGTAAAAAGGAAAACAAAGATTTGTTACCAGTAATGTGATCTATGGCTCATGAGTAGACGAAGATTGAGTCAGACCAACAAAAGATGTACCTATATGTGCAACAAAAGTAGTGGAACTGAAGGGTTCATGATCCTCACATTATTTAAGAAATTCATTGAAGAGAGTAGATTTATTGATGGTATCAGATGGAGGAGGATTCATAGTAGATGATTGTGAGGGAGAATCAGTTTTAGCAACATCAATAGATCAAGGAGGACAACCATGTAATGCATAATACTACCAATCTTGTGGCCTAGTTTGCCACAATGGTCCTACTTGTGACACCCTTTTCCTAGCTTGTGAGAGCAATTGTGATCATCATGTTGAGATGCCAAAGTAGAGGAATCATTGGCAGAAATAGATGTATCGTTGATAGTTTTCATGGCACATGCAGAATGGTGGAACAAGTAAAGGTTAAATTGGGTATAATAGGGGAACCCAAAATCTGATCACAAATATGAAAGTATTTATCAGTAAGTTTATGTAAAGCCAATACTGTGAAGAACTTGGACCATTGTCCTATTTCTTGGGCAGGAGTAGAGGCATGAGGTAATAACTCATAAAATTCATGAAAAAGAGCACGAATCTTACCTAAATAAGCAGCCATGGAGTCCTGATTTCGTGGAGTATCTTTGGTGTATAATAAGATTGTGACAAACACCACAAAGATGCAGAGTATCTTTGGTGTATAACAATTTGGCATGTTCTCAGTCTTCAGAACATGTGTTGTAGACATGAAACGTTTGTTTTAAAGAAGATTGAATGGTATTCTTGAGAACCATACATAACTGAGCATCAATTCTCTTCCAACGGAAAAGTCATTGGGAGCAATATTTGTCACTTTTTGAGTAAGATGATCAAGATACCCCTGACTCTCAAGCCAAAGTTTAATGTTTGACACCTAAGTCACATAATTAGTGCCATCTAACAAATCAATGAGCAAGTGCAAATTGACGTAGTTAGTAAAGACTACCAAGTCAGATTGGATCAACAGACTAGATCCAGAAAGCGGATGAAGAAGTGATCTCGGTGTATGTGATGGTTGCTGGAGAGTGGTCGTGATGCGCTACCATGAGCGGCAGTGAAACAGACAAAGGAGTGACTTTGAGTGGTGCGTGAGGGAGTGTGGCTTCTCTGATGGCAGCGATTCTTATGGCGTGGAGGTTGCCTGACAAGACAATCAAAACCGTGTGGTTGCCGGTCTAAATTGAGACTTCGGCGACAATGATTGACGTGGCAAAGGTGACGAAAAAAATTCTCAAAACATCTCAAGCTCTAGATACTATGTTGAATATTGATAGATATATTGCGTTTTATGTTAATTAGGGAAACATAAAATGCAAGAGCTCTAATACTGTCTCAGGTTCAGAAAATATTTTCTCTGTTGTTCAATCTTATTACTTACATCTAACATACATACATACATTAATTGGATAATTGAGGAAATAAGGACAATCTATTATGGGAAACAAATTCCTCATACCGTGGGATTATGTTAGTAATAAAAATAAGATGCAACCACCAATATACAAAATTAAAATTAATAGGAATAAAATCAGAAACTTCCTAAAATATCTCGATAGAATAAAATATAAAACTTCTAAGATATCCAAATTGTCGACCACCAAATTTGGTGGTTTGTAATATTCACCCAAGCACATAAGAACAAATCTTGTGTGATGTCTCCAATGACATGGTGGCGCTTTGGTGTGTGCATAGTGTGTTACAAGGCAAGTGTATCTTATGTAATAGTTGTAGTGGACGAAGAGGTCTAACCAGTGAGTGATTGTCACTGGTAAGAAGTGGACTTTTAACCTAACTCAATTCTACAAAACCGGCTTGTAAGGTGAGGTTTCCACCACTTAAGATTGAAAAGAAATAATTCTTGAGGGCTT